GGCCCTCTGGGGCGTGTGGTGGCCCCTGGTGGCCCTCTGGGGCGTGTGGTGGCTCCTGGTGGCCCTCTGGGGCGTATGGTGGCTCCTGGTGGCCCTCTGGGGCGTGTGGAGGCCCTCTGGGGCGTGTGGTGACCCCTGGTGGCCTTTGGTTGCCTCTGGTAGCCCCTGGTGGCCTTTGGTTGCCTCTGATGGCCCCTGATGGCCCTCTGGTGGTCCCTAGTGGCCCCTTGGTGGCCCTCTGGTGGCCTCTGGTGGCCCGTGGTGTGCCCGTGGTGGCCTCTGGAAGCCCTCTAGTGGCCTCTGATGGCCCCTCGTGGCCCTCTAGTGGCCTCTGATGGCCCCTGGTGGCCCTCTGATGGCCTCTGGTGGCCCTCTGATGGCCCCTGGTGGCCTCTGGTGGCCCGTTGCTCGTGACAGGGCCCTTGTTAGGAGAGGGGGAGACACACGCGTGCCTCTAGTGTTCCTTCACAGCCAATAACAACATGCAAAATCCCCCAGTGATTTAATGTGAAGGTTTTGATAGATGCTTGTTAGAGAGCAGTAAACAATCAATAATCTGGGGCCAGATTCATGAAGCAGTTACGCAAGCACTTACGAACCTGGGGCAGGATTCACGAAGCAGTTACGCAAGCACTTACGAACCTGGGGCAGGATTCACGAAGCAGTTACGCAAGCACTTACGATCCTGGGACCAGATTCACGAAGCAGTTACGCAAGCACTTACGAACCTGGAGCCAGATTCACGAAGAAATTACGCAAGCACTTACGAACGTGTACATCTTTTCTCAATCTTTGACGGCTTTGGTTACATTTATTAAACAGTTAACAAGCATGAAAACTTGTCAATCAACTGTTGTTATTGTTATAAACAGCCTCCTGGTGCTTCGGAGCTCATTAACTGTTTAATAATTGTAAACAAAGCCGCCAAATATTGAGAAAAGATGAACAGGTTCGTATGTGCTTGCGTAACTGCTTCGTGAATCTGGCCCCAGGTTCGTAAGTGCTTGCGTAACTGCTTCGTGAATCAGGCCCCAGGTTCGTAAGTGCTTGCGTAACTGCTTCGTGAATCAGGCCCCAGGTTCGTAAGTGCTTGCGTAACTGCTTCGTGAATCAGTCCCCAGGTTCGTAAGTGCTTGCGTAACTGCTTCGTGAATCAGGCCCCAGGTTCGTAAGTGCTTGCGTAACTGCTTCGTGAATCAGGCCTCAGGTTCGTAAGTGCTTGCGTAACTGCTTCGTGAATCAGGCCCCAGGTTCGTAAGTGCTTGCGTAACTGCTTCGTGAATCAGGCCCCAGTCTAAACTCGTAGATGCAAATCTAGTCCACCAACAACAATAGTCAACTTGACCCAACAAATGTGGAAGACAATCTCAACACAACACTGCTGTAAACTACGTAACACCAGTTCAACATGCAAACAGGTATACTTGAGTTTACATTTCCGTAAAAAACATGATATTGACGGCATTCATGTAAAAAAAAAAACTTCTGATTCTCTTGACAGCTTTTATGAATCATAAATTCGTATCCCAAGACACAGGTGTAGAATGGCAGGCTTGTCTTCCAGCAGTGTTGGGTGATTATAGGCCTTTCCCTCCGTCAAGGTGTCGGTCAAACAGTCAAAGCCTATACTGCCTTTCATAAATTTGAGAATCTACTTCTTGACGGTTGACCGCCTTGACTCATAGAGCTGCCAGCACCTGGCAAAAAGGGTGAGAATATGTTAACCTTGGCACTACTTCTTGGGGCCAGATACATCTGGCTCCTGCTAGTCTTGGGGCCAGATACATCTGGCTCCTGCTAGTCTTGGGGCCAGATACATCTGGCTCCTGCTAGTCTTGGGGCCAGATACATCTGGCTCCTGCTAGTCTTGGGGCCAGATACATCTGGCTCCTGCTAGTCTTGGGGCCAGATACATCTGGCTCCTGCTAGTCTTGGGGCCAGATACATCTGGCTCCTGCTAGTCTTGGGGCCAGATACATCTGGCTCCTGCTAGTCTTGGGGCCAGATACATCTGGCTCCTGCTAGTCTTGGGGCCAGATACATCTGGCTCCTGCTAGTCTTGGGGCCAGATACATCTGGCTCCTGCTAGTCTTGGGGCCAGATACATCTGGCTCCTGCTAGTCTTGGGGCCAGATACATCTGGCTCCTGCTAGTCTTGGGGCCAGATACATCTGGCTCCTGCTAGTCTTGGGGCCAGATACATCTGGCTCCTGCTAGTCTTGGGGCCAGATACATCTGGCTCCTGCTAGACTTGGGGCCAGATACATCTGGCTCCTGCTAGTCTTGGGGCCAGATACATCTGGCTCCTGCTAGTCTTGGGGCCAGATACATCTGGCTCCTGCTAGACTTGGGGCCAGATACATCTGGCTCCAGCTAGTCTTGGGGCCAGATACATCTGGCTCCTGCTAGTCTTGGGGCCAGATACATCTGGCTTCTGTCAGTTGGGCAACAACCATTAGCTTCTAGTTCTTCGACACTATTTTCTCATTCCATCTTTATCAAATTTCTTATGTTTTTCGTCTAAGCTGAATGCATTTTAATTCTGAACTTGAAGTCATTTCTTCGACAGTGTTTACAGCTAAAAAATGAATTGATTTTATGCATCTAAATCACAATGCATCTTCAAAATGCCTTTTTCTGGCTGAAAACCTCAATTGCATACTGATTGTTCATCTAATTTGAACACAATTTTCCATTTTCTCTAAAGAGAATATATTAAATTCCTATCCATGGAGTGAGTTAAATTTAATATATTCTCATTTCGTGTCATGAATGCTGCTATGTGATTTACGAAGCTGTTCTCCATCATCCTGATTAATGTATCTGTTACGTAATCAGTAAAACATTCCAGTTTCCATTTGGGATATTAAAGTCTCCAATAATTACAGATTATTGAGTTTAATAATTGATAAATACTCCTCACATACACAATGATTTAATATTTCTCTGTTATATATATATATATATAACATATATATATATATGTTATATGCAGAATAACCACATATGAAAAATAGAAAATGCTTAACGCGTTTTCGGCTAATTCGCCTTCATCAGAGCAAAGTAGAATGAAGATAAGTTTGCTGATCAGACCTTTATATCCGCCTGGGCAGATCACCTGACCACCAAAAATAAGTGGAGGAAAGGAATTATAAGAAAGAAGGTAACTACAGAAGGCCTATTGGCCCATACAAGGCAGCTCCTTTTAATATCTCCAAGTGCCATACGTGTTTAAATGATTGCTATATTGTTTTGACGTGCTATATTGAGGCTTAAATAGGGATCCAACTTGTACATACCGGGGCTCACATTAAGGCTGTTGTTACAATGTTTGATCAGAGCAGACTCGATCACGTTTCGTTCAACAAAATCCTTACTTTTAACAATACATTTTGCCCCTGTGAAGTCGATAGAATGATTACATAAACTGGAATGTAAATACAATGCACTGGATTGCTGGGCTGTACGAATAGCATATGAATGCTGTTTTAAACGCGAGGAAAGAGATTTACCAGTCTGGCCGATGTAAACACATGCACACTCATTACAAGGGATGGAATACACACAACCTGCTACAGACGAGGGCGAGTTCTTAATTAACATGGACTTAACTGTATTATCATTTTTGAACACTAGATTAATATTAAGGTTCTTCAGGGCTGGGGAAAGATTTACTAGACCCTCAGAATATGGTAATACCAACGAATTTTTCAGTTCTGGTTTCGACTTAGTAGTCTGTTTGTAGAAAGTCCTTTTTGCTTGACCAAACGCAAGATCCAAGATCGATTTTGGGTATTTTAACTTCTTCCCAATTTCAAATATATTTGCTATTTCTTCATCGAAAAATTCCGGACTACAAACTCTCAGTGCTCTGAGAAACATACCAGAAAAAACTGCCCGCTTGACCTGAACATGATGATTTGAATAGAAATGTACATACGAGCACACATTGGTAGGTTTCCTATACACATTGAATTTGAAACTTCTACCAATTCTATGAATCATGATGTCTAAAAAAGGCAGAACACCATTCACTTCGTTCTCAATTGTGAATTTAATTGACGGAACCAGCGAATTGATTTGATTGAGAAAATCAGTTTCGTCACGATTAACCGGCCACAGGCACAAAATATCGTCAACGTACCTGTACCAAAGCAAATTTGAGGGTAAAATCCTGGGAAGGATATTTGTTTCGAAACATTCCATGTACAGATTGCTCAAAACAGGGGAGAGGGGATTACCCATCGCCATGCCAAATGTTTGTTTATAAAATGAATCATTAAAGCTGAAATAATTATCTTTAATGCACAATTTTATAAGTTCAATAATGGTGTTAGTAGGCAAAGTTAAATTATACCTTGGGAGTAGATCCCGTAAGAATGACAACAGATCATCAACAGGAACCCTAGTGAACAGAGCCGTCACATCAAAACTCACAAGTTTAAAATCATAATTTAATTTCAAACTAGACAACTTGTTAACCAAGTCCAAGTTGTTTGTTATGTGTGAGTTGGAAATGGAACCTACTACTGGAGACAAGACTTGGACAAGCCATTTGGAAAGTCTATATGCCACAGATCCAACAGAACTAATAATAGGTCTTGCAGGATTATTCGGTTTGTGTGTTTTAATAAGCCCATATAGATATGGGAGAGAAGGGGAACGACTTAAAAACTTAGGAATCAACTCCTTATCTTTCTTGAGCACGGTTTTAAGAGTTTTGTTGAAATGAGCAATAACTCTTTCAATAGGGTCACTATTAACAGGTAAGTAAGTGTCTCTGTCCTCCAATAACTGGTTCATTTTTTGGACATAGTCTTCTTTGTCCATGATGACAACAGCATTGGATTTATCAGCTTTAGTGATATGTAGAGAGTTATCTTTTTTGAGGGTTTTGAACGCTCGCATAAACCTCTCTGGACAATTAGGCACAGTACCCTTAAGTAAAGAACCGTACACCATTCCCTTGCAAATATTGATGTCGTCAGATGAAATCTCACTAGATTTCTCCAAATTGCAAAAACTTTTGGCAATATTTGCATAATTCACATCTCTATTTGATATGGAGAAACTCAGACCGTAACCAAGAGCAGTCATCGTATCATTATCAAGTTGTTTACTAGAGAGATTAATAACAAAGTCAGTGTTGGCATGTTTATTCCAATCACTTTGTTGAATGAGCCTATTTAATTTTGAATCAAGCTTCGTACTTACATTCGTGCAGGCAGATCTCATAGCGGTGTAACAATAATCCATCATCGGGCGATTCCATTCCAAGGGTACAGCTTGAGAAAATGAATACTTAAGGTGTTGAACAGCCGTAAGTATTCATTTTCTCAAGCTGTACCCTTGGAATGGAATCGCCCGATGATGGATTATTGTTACACCGCTATGAGATCTGCCTGCACGAATGTAAGTACGAAGCTTGATTCAAAATTAAATAGGCTCATTCAACAAAGTGATTGGAATAAACATGCCAACACTGACTTTGTTATTAATCTCTCTAGTAAACAACTTGATAATGATACGATGACTGCTCTTGGTTACGGTCTGAGTTTCTCCATATCAAATAGAGATGTGAATTATGCAAATATTGCCAAAAGTTTTTGCAATTTGGAGAAATCTAGTGAGATTTCATCTGACGACATCAATATTTGCAAGGGAATGGTGTACGGTTCTTTACTTAAGGGTACTGTGCCTAATTGTCCAGAGAGGTTTATGCGAGCGTTCAAAACCCTCAAAAAAGATAACTCTCTACATATCACTAAAGCTGATAAATCCAATGGTGTTGTCATCATGGACAAAGAAGACTATGTCCAAAAAATGAACCAGTTATTGGAGGACAGAGACACTTACTTACCTGTTAATAGTGACCCTATTGAAAGAGTTATTGCTCATTTCAACAAAACTCTTAAAACCGTGCTCAAGAAAGATAAGGAGTTGATTCCTAAGTTTTTAAGTCGTTCCCCTTCTCTCCCATATCTATATGGGCTTATTAAAACACACAAACCGAATAATCCTGCAAGACCTATTATTAGTTCTGTTGGATCTGTGGCATATAGACTTTCCAAATGGCTTGTCCAAGTCTTGTCTCCAGTAGTAGGTTCCATTTCCAACTCACACATAACAAACAACTTGGACTTGGTTAACAAGTTGTCTAGTTTGAAATTAAATTATGATTTTAAACTTGTGAGTTTTGATGTGACGGCTCTGTTCACTAGGGTTCCTGTTGATGATCTGTTGTCATTCTTACGGGATCTACTCCCAAGGTATAATTTAACTTTGCCTACTAACACCATTATTGAACTTATAAAATTGTGCATTAAAGATAATTATTTCAGCTTTAATGATTCATTTTATAAACAAACATTTGGCATGGCGATGGGTAATCCCCTCTCCCCTGTTTTGAGCAATCTGTACATGGAATGTTTCGAAATAAATATCCTTCCCAGGATTTTACCCTCAAATTTGCTTTGGTACAGGTACGTTGACGATATTTTGTGCCTGTGGCCGGTTAATCGTGACGAAACTGATTTTCTCAATCAAATCAATTCGCTGGTTCCGTCAATTAAATTCACAATTGAGAACGAAGTGAATGGTGTTCTGCCTTTTTTAGACATCATGATTCATAGAATTGGTAGAAGTTTCAAATTCAATGTGTATAGGAAACCTACCAATGTGTGCTCGTATGTACATTTCTATTCAAATCATCATGTTCAGGTCAAGCGGGCAGTTTTTTCTGGTATGTTTCTCAGAGCACTGAGAGTTTGTAGTCCGGAATTTTTCGATGAAGAAATAGCAAATATATTTGAAATTGGGAAGAAGTTAAAATACCCAAAATCGATCTTGGATCTTGCGTTTGGTCAAGCAAAAAGGACTTTCTACAAACAGACTACTAAGTCGAAACCAGAACTGAAAAATTCGTTGGTATTACCATATTCTGAGGGTCTAGTAAATCTTGCCCCAGCCCTGAAGAACCTTAATATTAATCTAGTGTTCAAAAATGATAATACAGTTAAGTCCATGTTAATTAAGAACTCGCCCTCGTCTGTAGCAGGTTGTGTGTATTCCATCCCTTGTAATGAGTGTGCATGTGTTTACATCGGCCAGACTGGTAAATCTCTTTCCTCGCGTTTAAAACAGCATTCATATGCTATTCGTACAGCCCAGCAATCCAGTGCATTGTATTTACATTCCAGTTTATGTAATCATTCTATCGACTTCACAGGGGCAAAATGTATTGTTAAAAGTAAGGATTTTGTTGAACGAAACGTGATCGAGTCTGCTCTGATCAAACATTGTAACAACAGCCTTAATGTGAGCCCCGGTATGTACAAGTTGGATCCCTATTTAAGCCTCAATATAGCACGTCAAAACAATATAGCAATCATTTAAACACGTATGGCACTTGGAGATATTAAAAGGAGCTGCCTTGTATGGGCCAATAGGCCTTCTGCAGTTACCTTCTTTCTTATAATTCCTTTCCTCCACTTATTTTTGGTGGTCAGGTGATCTGCCCAGGCGGATATAAAGGTCTGATCAGCAAACTTATCTTCATTCTACTTTGCTCTGATGAAGGCGAATTAGCCGAAAACGCGTTAAGCATTTTCTATTTTTCATATGTGGTTATTCTGCATACTTGGATCAGTGTTTTTGTGATCATTGTTGCATATATGTTATATATATATAGGTGGTATATATATATTTTAAACAAATTTCTACATATAGGAAATCATTAGTCTTAACACCTGAGAAATATCTTGATGCAATCCCTTTTTTGTGCATAGAATCCAAAATAGATCTTGAGGTTATCTTGAGATGATTTCGGGGCTTTTAGTGTCCCCGCGGCCCGGTCCTATTTTACTGCTAGGTAACAGGGGCATAGGGTGAAAGAAACTCTGCCCGTTGTTTCTCGCCGGCGCCTGGGATTGAACCCAGGACCACAGGATCACAAGTCCAGCGTGCTGTCCGCTCGGCCGACTGGCTCCCTAAATGAATGTTGAAATGCAAACACATTGTGAGTTATGCTAATGTGATTGTATGTTGATTTTATTGATGTTTAGAATAAAGCTATGGTTTGAGACACAGAAGGGTGGATGGGAGAGAGGGGAGAGGAGAAGATAGAGAAGAGAAAAAGGGAAAGGAATTACAGATGTGAGAGGACAGAGAGACGAAAGAGAGAAAGTGTTAGGTTACAACAGCAAATAAAGGGAATGAAAAGTAATGTTATGATATTGTGACAAATAAAGGAAAGGAAGAGACGGAATAGGATGTAAATGATAAGATGAGAAGGGAAGGAAGAGTACAGAAAAACTGTACATCTCGATTCTGTTAAAAAATAAAGATTGGACGGATTTGAATTAATATGTAAATTGATTAATTATAAATAGAGCTTCACCTCATTTTAATATTATAGCCCTTGGATACTGATATAATAAAGTCGTTTTAATCTTATGTTGACCTAGCCGGACATGTAGCCGGGGGGGAGCTGGTCGGCCGAGCGGATAGCACTCTGGACTTGTGATCCTGTGGTCCCGGGTTCGATCCCGGGCGCCGGCGAGAAACAATGGGCAGAACAATTTCACCCTATGCCCCTGTTACCTAGCAGTAAAATAGGTACCTGGGTGTTAGTCAGCTATCTCGGGCTGCTTCCTGGGGGTGGAGGCCTGGTCGAGGACCGGGCCGCGGGGACACTAAAGCCCCGAAATCATCTCAAGATAACCTCAAGATAACCAAAACAGATTAGAAGATGGAGAAAGGATACGAACACTGAAACAGATACACATATCTGCCACTATCTTCTTCCCCGTCAATTTTCTCCTCTCATTCTCTCTATTCTTATCTCCATATATCTCCTCCATCCCCTCTGCCCTCCCGTCAAGCCCCGTCTCTACCCCCTCTTCTGTCTACCAGTCACCCGTCTCGCCCTCTGTCTCTCCCATCCACTCTATATTTGGCTCTACGCAAGTACTTAAACGGCCCGTCTTTTTCGCTTCCTGTCTGGTTGTGGTGCGGCTTGGCTGTGTGCCCAGGTTTTCGGGTGTGGTGTATAGCATAGCTCCTAACTCACTTGCTTCCTCAGACTTAATTGTTGACACCTTGCCCCCCCACACACACACCACGGCACACTTGGATACATAGAAATACACGCTTGCATATGTATGTACACACATAAGTACACATACACATACACGCTGCTTCTCGTGTACGCATTCTTGTGTACTAAAGACAGAATCCACATATAATATACACCGTACAGATTTATATATGCGTACTAGAACAGCTTAAGATGAGAGGAAGACGACTCAGAATCAGAAAAATAGTGCAGCAGTTGATATCACGCCAGACAGAGCCCCAAAGAGCCTAACAGCCTAAGAGCCGGAGACAGGGCCTATCAGCCTAAGAGCCGGAGACAGAGCCTTAGAGCCGGAGACAGAGCCTACCAGCCTAAGAGCCGGAGACAGAGCCTAACAGCCTAAGAGCCGGAGACAGGGCCTATCAGCCTAAGAGCCGGAGACAGAGCCTTAGAGCCGGAGACAGAGCCTAGCAGCCTAAGAGCCGGAGACAGAGCCTAACAGCCTAAGAGCCGGAGACAGAGCCTAACAGCCTTAGAGCCGGAGACAGAGCCTACCAGCCTAAGAGCCGGAGACAGAGCCTAACAGCCTTAGAGCCGGAGACAGAGCCTACCAGCCTAAGAGCCGGAGAAAGAGCCTAACACCATTGGTGAACACCAAGATTGTCAACATTAGAGAGCCTTTACAAATTTGAAAAAGGAAGATTTCAAAGCCCTGATCCAGCTTTAGAGAATACTGCTCAAACGTGTAACTCCACAATATTCACAGAGAAACCCTCAGAAAAAGAGCCCAAACGTTTGCAACAAGATTGGCGCCAGAATCTTGAGGGCTGACTTATGAGAAAAGGCTCACGTAGCTTTACCTAAATGCACTATAAATAAAATGTGGCAGAGGTGCCATGATCACGACATGAAAGGTTTAAGGAGCATTGCCAAAACATGAAATATTGATCATAAGCATAGAAAGAACATGATTGAAAATGATGAAGATTGAGAGTTATAAGCATGTCTTGTCACCCAACCA